CTCAATGATTTCCAAATCAATGTTCCAACAAATTCATGGGGGCGTTTTTAGCCAGATACTACTTACACGCTTCATCAGTAGCATACATCGCCACATTCACAGCAAAACCCGGAACATCTGAAATGCGGTGCGAGCGCGTTGCTTATATTTTCCCGCAGTATAAGGTGGATGCGTCCGAATAATAACCTGTGAGTAGTCAAACATGTTCGGGCGTCAGCGGTGCGGTGAGTTCACCCAAGGTCTCGAATGTCGACTCAGCAGCTGTCCTGCCTATGTGGATCGGATGGCTTACCTGTCAAGTTTCCGCACTCAGGATGCATCAAAGAAGGTTCTTAAATTGATGGTGTTCACCCCTAAACAAGGACATGTTGGTAAAGCATTTTTGACCATCGTTCGCTGATTTCAAGGTTGAAACACGATTGCGTCACTTGTAAGAAAATCAGGTTTCATATTCCGACACAGCTAGGGAGATGCACTGGAAGTGAGCTTAACTAAGACGCGATTCTTGGTCTGCTGCCGAGAGGACACAATGACTAGGCCTAGGTAAGGAAACACTGCTTAGAGGAGAACGGTGTGAGTACAAAATGGGTGCGTCAATGCTGAGCTACGTCTCATTCATAAAAATGTCCTTTGTTCAGTTCCATTCAAATACGACTGGACAGCAAACGTAGTTCGTCGTACTACAGAAACTAACCAAAGTTACTGACCATCGTGTAAGATCAGTTAGTTAGAATTTTACGCCTTAAGTCTATATCTACCGAATGCTGAGTGAGTAGAGAATTAAATCTATTCCAAGTACAGAAGCCAGCATTCATTAACGAGCCTTGATTGATTTGGATCATCCGGTTCACTTGTCAGCCCTTGGAGGAGCGATGCGGTATCCATTGATTGAGGCTTCCTTATCGAAACTAACGTGTCATCACGTGTACTGGAAGTAGCAATTATGTTCACAATGATATAAAATCATCCCACTTCCTTAGGGGTCACCTTTCAAGGCTGACCCAGATTGGTTTACGTCCAAAGTGGACTAAACTAGGAGGGTAACGTGTTATTTACCTATACTTCCAATTCTTCTACAGACTTATTCGCTACTATATTAGAATTCAACTATAGACTAGGATACAATGCAGCACTGATGAAAATGTCATGAAATTCGAAAACAGGATCACAAAAGCACATTGATTTGCCAGCAATTTATGCATTTGAACTTGATCAGTAAAAAGACGTGTGTTTATCGAGATCTGTCCAATTTGGTTTGAGATAGAACATAAGGTTGACGGAAACTCGAGGAACGTGCCTATCTGAGGACATTCAAGGAGAGCGAAATCGGTCATGCGCTGTCTGGGAGATTTCAGCAACTTATGAATATTTAGGAGTCCCGGGCCGAAATAACCTCGGAGAGTGTTTAAAATATTCAGCGCAATTTGGTGTACCATAAAGAGTTTTTTAATTATGAAGTCCTAGAGAAAGGTTGCCCAAGGAAACGAAAACATCCGATTACAGCCACCTATTCCACTACGCTGTTTTTTTGATTCTATAATTAAAAATATCATGAGAAGTCTCCCCCAGCGGAGAGAGGTGGCATTCACATTACACAATGGAATATCTTAGGCAAAACTCCAATAAACCTTCCAGGGGGCACTTGAACGTATCGTTTTTATATGGGCATCTGATTGCATTAAATATGCTCAGATATCATTGACTTTTCGACTTACTGGGTGGTTTTGCTGTAGAAAATTGTGCAAATTGTGGTTCTAGTTTCTTTGTGTAAGCGTATTTTCATACCATACCTGCCTAGAACGTTTATACTGATATTTTTACAATAAGAGTTTGCAATAAAATACCTGGCGTTTATAGTACGATGGGAGTTATATGTTTCCCCCCATAGGATGCGTTCAAGTCCATGCTTTACTTGCCTTTCTGTTTTGTCGTACTGAGTCACAATAGCTTTTTTCGAATTACCCAAAGACAATATTTATCTAAAATGATTACAGTACACATGATTGCATACAGATTACAATACAGAACCTGTTCGTGTGGTCTGGTAACCTAATCTCACCTTCCACATGTTTTAGTTTTTTAAGATAGAGAGGAAGTTCAACTGATATCACGGCGTAACGGTGCACGTCTTTAGATAAGGCCAGAGACTGTTGGTTCGCGACTACAGCGGCAGACACCCCAAGTGGGTTCCAGGCTACATCCCTCCCTCGTCGTCAATTTCAGTGATGATAATGCTTCAGAACAAACAAACGTTTTCAGCAAACAACTAACCTGTGCACTAAATGCCCTAACCAGTCGGAAAACACAGGTCTTTGTATGGAGTGACATTCTGGAAATTTCGAAGCCTTCTGGATGTGGCACTGGCAAACTGAATCCGGCGGAATCACTCATGGCTACACTCTAGACCAATCGGAATTCGCCTTAGTGCCGAGCAGAAAAGCAACCCAATATTCTGACTAATCGCGGCGGTTTAGGCTTCCTAACCATGGCAGTACCTAACTCCTAGCGGTACAGCGATTATGGAGCATATTCCACCCTAACAGCTTGTATTAACTCCGCAAGAATGGACAACTTTTCTGCTGGAAGTTCCCCGCTGTTCTTTGACTTTCAAGTGACAACCTGGATATGCCATTGTTAGGTAAAAGTCAAATTCGTCAGCTACAGCAAATGTGGGGTAGATATGTGATGAGGAAAAAATTCCGAAGACCTCGTTAAAGGATACTCCGTCCGACCCTTTCTGTACACAAATTACACGTCACAGAAAAGAGAGGAGTTTTTCTACCACACAGCTTTATACTTAATTGTGCCTATGGCCACCGCCGGAGAGAAGGTGATCAAAAACATCCGTTTTTCGGGTCTTGGCGCCCTCCCGCAGACAATCATGTTCTCTAGTGAAATATGATATTTTTTCAACTTTGGGGTTACAATGCACTTTTAAACGTAAAGGCAAATTCTTTTGTTACTCATGGATACATGTGGATGCTAGAATCTTGGCCGAGCTAACTGAGAGCAGATGCCTTATGAAAGTGGTCGTTTAAAGATTGTACCATACCGAACAGTTTGTATTTGAAATAAAATGCTAACGCTGTAGGGGAAAATTGACTCGGGGCAATATTAGTGTTGTCAAGGATGGGCGAGGTTTACAAATTAAACTCGTATGAGAGGGGAGAAAATTAAGTCAGCCTTTCTTTGAATCTGCAAGTTTCATGGATGATCAAATGAAACCCGTGATGGGTTTTTTGGTCAACTCACGGATACTGTGGCTGCATGCTACTAGGAAACTATCATTCAGGTCGGCTTATCCTGACCAAAGATTTTGGAAAGGCAGCTTCCAAGATGATGCAAATTGAGTTGGGTCATCCAGACCCAATTAACACAACCAACGGAGGTCTACCATTGTTACTGTTCGAATGATCAATGCCTCTCACTATCGTGCCTCATCACTGAAGCGGATGGACGATTCGCACGCTTCACTATGCGTGGGCAGTGTGTCCCTAAATGGGAGGCATAAGGCAAACAATTGATCGAACCGGTTGACTGTGTGTCCCTGCATGCTTCAGAGACCATAAATTGAGTCTCTGCAGTGTCTCAGAATGCTTTTTACAGCTGACCATGTGTACGCCCAGCTTCCTGTGAGGCGATGCAGGCCACTATCAAGGGAATGGTGAACGACATCACAAAGCGTTTTTCTGGCTTGTTGAACTCACGCGGTCCTAGAATAGGATAAGGGCAAAGAGATTATACGGTAAAAAGTACACTTTCAATCAAAATAAAAGCTTTCAGTTCTATAGGGATATTACATCTATTTTCTTCTCTAACATTGTGTGTGGGACTTCATATACTTATATTTGCGGGTCAGATAAATGCTGCTTGCCATTCGACTCTGATAGCTTTCCACTGCAGCGGTTTTCTTAAAATCGCGTGGCGATGTTTGAACCTGCTTTCAGTGAAACAGAAGTGGGCCTTTTGTGGCAACTCTAGTGTGCATCAGGACTGTTGCAACCAATCTAGAACCGAGTGAACAGGCCTCATGGCAATCACCTCGAACCTTTTTGGTGGTCTGGTGTTTTGTCAGTCGCGGTGATTTTAAGACGCTTTCCGGAAAGTGTGGTTTAGTACCCAGAAGATTTCTATTAACAGCTGTGATGTACACACCCATAGCCGATGGTCGGTTTTGAAACCGGAGTTGGCATGATGTGGGTGGTAGCTACACACGTCTACGCTTACCTATCCTTAGATGGAAAAAATTGACTCAGCCGCACTTCTGTCCAAAACATTCTCCTAAGGTCAGTTTTCTTTGAAACTGTATGCCGTACAATGTCTTCAGATCTGGAGTTCATAGGGTACGAATAATCAACATAACTGACGAATAATCCGAAAAATACTCTGGAACTGATGCCTGGCCCGCCTTCATCAGTGTACGGTGAGTGGCAACTGCATTTTTCAATACTTACGTCAGTATCTGCTAGCGCGGACGATTAGTCACATCATTTTGATGGGCGACATTCCAGGGCTGATGCAAACATGCACACCAGTGTCTAAAAAAGCTGTATACAGCATTTTCGTGAAGGTCGGTGCTCCGACTATGTATCTGTACTGTTAGCTGACTATGTATATACATACAAATAGTCATATATAATGTTGGGTTCGAGATATCTCAATGGCTGAGGTGCGGAAAAGCTCACCGGAAGGTCCACGGTTCAAACGAAATCCCGGCAACATTTCTCTCTAGATTTAATCAACCCGGATGTGTCTCAGCCCTTGTGGTTCCTTCGGGTGGCATGGCAGATACGCACCGAAAGAGTGCAACAGCTAAACGACAACTATGTATGACATCTGTATACTGTATCCAGCCTGCATTTTTCAGCACAAAACCCTTGTCCTTCACCCAGCACTCGAGTAGTACAATTGAACACCTATACAACATTAATTTTGCTGTATTTGTGACGCATTATCCATAAGGTTGCTAAAAAATTCGTCGACAAATCTTTAACAACCTTATGAGTAGTGCATTCCAAATATACATGATCGCGACATCTCGAATATTGTTGCGACTGCAACATGAGGCGGCCTGGTGCAGCACATTCAGTTACCTGGAAACATCACAAACGAGAGATTCAGCTGGGTTCCAGGTAAGTCTCTCGAAAAACCAAATTCGTTTGCGGATCAGTGTATTTCGTTAATTTTGCTGTGTTGTATAGAAAAATTCGGAAAGGGACTGCGTGAAAACACGAGATGGTTCCTATTCACAAATTGGATTCGTATAAATAACGGAAATGGTAGAACAGCTCAATCCTTTAAGTATCTAGTGCGTCTTTACATTTATGAAGTAATTCACACAACGACAACTGAGTCGTAAGCGCTCGCGCTTCTTTTCTTCTGCAGGTGTTTCGAAGCGACGTACGGAAAGGTGTGTTGAATGCAGAAAATTATGAATAGCGCTTGGTTTTTCATTGCAAATGCCCTGATAGAGAAAAGTTGCTGAGTCCTTGAACTAGAAACGAGTGACGACCGAGTTAACATCAGTTTAATTGCAAATGAGGGCAACCTCACAGTTCCGTACAAAGTGGTGCTCGAGGCAAAAATACTCAAGGGCTGTGTTTCCTAGTTAATCCCCAAGAATGGGCAGTTGAAGAAATTTCAGCAAACATGTGGGCAGATTCCTTGAAGAAACTATACAAAAGTTTCTAAAATATTGTGCCAAATGGAACACACCGCATGCAGTTGAAGAATATGGTATATGAGTTCAGCCTCTTGTTAATTCAACTGATATACAAACGTGTGTGTTTATCGAGATCTGTCCAGTTTGGTTTTATATAGAACATAAGGTTGACGAAATCTCAGGAAACGTGACTACCTGGTGACCCCCAGAAGAGCAAAACCGGTTATGGGCTGTCTAGGAGATTTCAGCAAGCTTATGATTATTTAGGATTCTGGGCGAACATCAGCTGGAAGAGTGTTAAAGTTATTCAGCGCCAATTCTTCACACCCTGCTAGAACACCGCCATACGTGTGAGCGACCCACGATTCTAGTATTCCTGGATTTCCGAGGCGCGTTCGACTCGGTTGATCGGTCTCTTCTTCTTGACACGCTTGTCCACCAAGGAATGTCAAGGAATTCTGCAAACATAATACGTTCTTTGTATTTTCAGACTTCCGGACGTGTGAGAGTGTACGGAGAGCTCTCCAAAAGCTTCCGTACACAATACGGTGTCCGTCAGGGATGCCCACTCTCTCCATTCCTTTTTAACTTTGTGATCGATGAAATAATGAGACGAACGCTGGAGGGTCTCCAAAACCCTG